AAAATAGTATAACATTTAATGTAGTCCACGGTACTCACATAACATCCAGTGATTTAGCCCTAGTGTATACAGCCAACAAGATTCCTCTTAAAGAGTCAGATCAAGATGATTTTCTTTAACAAAACATGACAGATAGTCCACGCGGGGCTGCCATCTTGAAAAGCATCGATCTGATCCAGTACTGATATACAGCCTGGGCCAGTGCTGACGAACAGACATTACTGTATCAGCTATGACTACATCGGGACTGAAATAGATACTGGTCCAGGCCAGAACAACAGCCTCGATTCAGCAGTGATGGCCGTTGATGCTGGACCGTTATAGAATCAAACCTGGTCCAGGCCTGATACCCATCATTCACGGATCATGCATGGTAACTCTTGGGTGTGTAGGACAGGGGCGTATCTAGGAATTGGAAAAAGAGGGTGTTGAGGGCGCGCGAAGCGCGCCGCAATTTTGGCCACACCCACTCTTACGGCGGTAAAACGGCCTTTTCCTGCATTTTCGTCAATTACGGGTGGGGCCAAGATCATTTCAAGCTCGATTTCAAGCATACTGCTATGTTACTGGTACTTTTGATTGCTCCTTAAAGCACTGGAAACTGCTGAAATCATAATAAGGGGGCTAGATAACTTTGTTAAGAGGCTTGGTAGTGATGCAAGAGTCCAGGAGTTCAGTAATTTTCTCTGAGCCCAGCCCTGAGGGGGGTGCTCAAGCCCCCTCAGCCCCCCCCTAAATACGCCTCTGTAGGACTTAGCAATGCTTTCAGCAACGATGCACATCTGTCCATACCGTGATGAGTTGATGCTATCTTAAAGTAACAATTGGTTTTAAACTACATCAGACACTCACAGTAACTTACCAATCCTTCAGTATCCTTGCTGTTTGAATACAAGGAAAACCCAGCCATTTTTAGTCATAGAGGTGTGGTCATTCATAATAATTAATTATTACCAGTTAAAATTATATTAGAGTTAATCCAGAATCTGTAATTATTTCTGTTACCAGTCATGTTATTACTTATGCTGTAACATTGCTCTTATATATAATCATTTCTACATAAATATAATTATGAAAAAAACTACAAGTATAAAAGCATTTCAAAAAGCTTAAGCATAGAAATATAGATCTAGTATAGCTCTTGAGCATTCATTAATTATTTTTTCCTGACTTGTCTCTGTAATAACCTAATTAAAGCATCATAATTAAAACACTAATCACTGAAAAAGGAAAAACATAACAATACATCAAAGAGTATGTGCTGGTATAGACCCCTTTCAGCGAGAAGTAGCAGCTTGTGAATATCATTAATTTTGCAATGAATATCATTATATCTCAGTTAGGGTATACACCCACATAAAATAATTGGCTGCCATGTTTTACGTCAAGCAGCAAGTGCTTTCTGTGTCCTGGAGATCTTGGTCACTACATTTTGAAGCTAAAAACTATTCTAGAGTCAAGAAAGATGCCAAGAGAGCCAACCTAGGAAGTATAGTGCAATACTCTTGTTGTATGAGCCTGCTTTCCTCTTTGGGCTGTGACAGAGAGTCAAGAACTGATCGTTCTGGCTCTCCTAGACTTCTTAAGTCTTCAAAATATCTTGCTATAGTAAAGAACAGTTGATATGAAGCCTCTCATAGTCCTGAGTTCAGCACAACAAAAGTTTTATTGGCAAAACAGCTCTACTTTGCACATCAGCCATTGGGACTCTGCATAACTTTGACGTAAAACATGGCGGACAAAAATCCGTTCAATATTATTTCTTTGTATATACGGTATCACAAACTAATTCTCGCCTAAAGAGGTCTATTGTATTTTGCCCCATTGCCCAAATCTAAGATCTAGGACATTGAAATAATATTTCATGATTAAAACTAGCTCAAATGCTGCTTGCTAAGTTTTATAAAATGCTACCATGCTAAATACAAACTGACCTTTGATTTGACTGTCAGCAATTTGTTGTATTTTATCAGCATCTGACTTGTTAGCTAAATCTATTGACCGAAGCTTTGATAAAAATTGTCTCTTTGCATCTTTATTCACTGCTTCCCAGGTAAGTATCATTTGCATGAAGACCTTCCAGTCTTTCCAGTCTTTATCTGAGGCTGTTCCCATAAAGTCACTATAGACAGCTTTGGCTCCTTCAGCTGATAGCTCAGTCAATCTTTCTGACACAATAGAAGCGTCTTCAGATGAGAAAGAATCTACAAAAATAATTTTGATACACTTATACACAACTACTGGCCTACATACCTCCATTAAGTATTTTATTCTTATCAATTTTATACTAAATGAAAACATAAAACAGAAAAACAAGTATGTACTTAAATTTACCTCTTTTAATATACAGTTAAATACTTCAATCCTATCCTTATCTTTACTGGACATGGCAACAAAACATTCACATTCTTTGCATTTATCTTTTTCAAAAGGAAGAGCATGGCGCTCCATTTGAAGCTTACAGGAACATTCAGGCTTTTCACACATTATTGCAAAGTTATATAATACATCACTTTCATTCATTATCTCATGACATTTGATGATGATATGCTCACAGACGTCATACAACAGCTCTTTATCAAGATCAGAAAAACGAAACTCAATGATATCCCCGAGATAAACGAGCTCAAAAAGTAGACCGTCTGACTGAGAACAAAACCTTGTCACATTAATGTGAGGGGTCTGGGATACATCTAGTTGAGCTTTGGGATATGACTCCAAAAAATTGGCAGTGAAAGAGACTTTAAAGTGAGACAATGAAATATTCATGTCGTGGACCAGATGAAGTGAAGTAGGACTGCACTGCAGGAGGGGCAGGCGATTACAAATATTAGGAATGTAATAGCCCTGTTGATTAATGCTAACTTGGCCTGGTAAAATCTTGGTAGCCATACGTAAGGACTCAAGGAATGACATGAAAATGAATGCATTTTCGTCCTTTTCATTAAAAATGGCTTCTGCTGTAGCCTTACTAACAAATCCATGACTAGTAACAATGGGGTCATCAGAAGAATAATAGAACAGCTTATCTAGCCTATTCAAAAATGAAACTGGCTGCAAGATGATTAAATTAGAAGAGGGGGCAATCAAACTGACATCAATAATGCTCCCAAATGAAGTGAAGAAACGACAAAACTCTTGAAACGTAGAATCATTCATATTGAGCTCTTTTGATAATGCCTGTAATTCCTCTTTCATAATGTAAAGCTGATCTTTCTTATAAAAAAACTTCGAAGAAACATGAAGGAAAGTGGAACCTCTTCAGCATGATATTCCAGGCCATCTTTTATTCTCTTTTCTAGAAGGTGATACAAAGGGCCAATCTCTTCATTGTGAAAAACTTCAAAGTTTTCCATATCAATAAGATCTTGAAGCTGCAACTGCTTAGAAACATTACTAATAGCAACTTTTAATTTCTTCATTTTTTCTTCAAGATCTGTTGATCCATCGTAGGAAGCAATTACGTCACAAACTCTTTTATGATATCCACCTTTCATTGAAGCAAGTTTAGCAAAACGAATAAAATAACGAATACGTGATCTCCACCTCATTATCAGCTCCTTATCATTACGTGATGGGTTATATCGATTCTCTGGAATATCAGGAACTTCATAAAGATGATCGACATCACGAAGCAAGTTGAGAAACATCCAAACATGACTATTGTAGAGATGACCAGCAAGATGTGAAAGAATATAAGTTGGTATCTTGTTAAGACCAAGATCCCAAACATTAATGAGAGCTAGCCCACATGTGTGACTTTGATCCCATTCAGACCCAGTGAACTTGTCACGTTGCTTCCTGAGATCATCCTCAAGAAGGTCCATCATAACTTCCATTAAATGCTCATTTAGATCTTCTTTAGAGAATCCAGAGAAATCATCTAAAGAGACTCTGATTCTTTTGCCTGATAATCGAGCCATGCGCTCCACTCCGGCATAAATTGCATATGGATATCCCCAGCCTTGTTGTTGTTGTGTGAACACAATCTTATTATCAAGCTCATTTCGAGCAGCGAGCATATGGCAAAACCCAATACCATCTTCTTCCTTCAAACTTGAAGCTGCTTGCAAGAGCTTCTTTAATGCTGTGGTTTTGCTGCTGTTTGGTAGCCCACAGTTGATCAACAGCATTGACATAACCTTGACTTTTATGGTAGAATTTTGCATTCCATTTATCAACCATTTCGAATTTATTTCAAGCAGTTCATCACCTATACAAATTATATTGATTATTGCTTCAATCAGCCAAGTGTTGCCAATTTATGGCTAACAACAGAAATAATAATATAGGTTACAATACAAAATAATTTTTTTACAAAGTGTCAAAAGCTTCAGTAACCAGATACATTATACATGTAGATAAGGATTGACTGCAACATCCCTCCGGTAGAAGGACTACAAGTGGTGCAGTGGCAAAATTAGTCTCGCCCTGCCCCTTTGTGGGGTGAGACTATGGCAAAATAAATGCAACCATTTTTCATTTGCTTTTTACTTTATTTTTACTACACCATGCACAATCTGAGAATATGCACTGATGAATTGTCTGGGTGTGCGTAGGCACACGCTTATGTCACATCAACTACATATACCTGCACTATAGAGTAGATATTATAACACATGCCAGGTGTATCTAGTCTATGCAAACTTTCATAAGAAAAGTATACTATAGAACTTTCCCACCACTGAGTGTTTAGCAATGAATATCAAAACAAGCTGCAATGTTGTAGGATAGATGTTAACAGAGATGAACTCAAAAGTGACTATTCAAATATTTTCCTTTTGAATGCAAGCTCTGGCTCACATAAAAATGCTCCTTTGGCAACACTTCCACATTTGTTGTACCGTATAGCGGAAAATTTTTGTGGCCCAAAATTTTCGTGGATCTGTCCAAAAATCAATTTTGTGGCTTTAATTTTCGTGGTTTTCTACAATTCGGCCATCTTAAACCGTATAAAATTGATTTTCGCGAATTTTATTTTCATGGGTTTTGAAAAAACGCGAAATACACAAAAATTTTGGGCCACGAAAATTTTCCGCTATACGGTATAGTCATAAAATGGTGGCCGGGGCCATTTACATGTATAATAATTCATTGCTAAACAGGGTAAAGGCTAGTTTACAATATTATGCTAGTCCTGACGTTACATTGACGCTGTAATACTAGCTGAAAGCATGTGTCAAGAGGTCAAATCGCCCATGCTTTTGATTAAAAATTGACAGTACATGTTAGACGGCAATTTTTTAAGACTTACAAGTTAATAAGCAAATTTGTGGCAGAGTTCGTCCAGACTGTGACACTAGTTGTACACTTAGTTTACTAACCTGGAGGTGGAGGTTGGGTGTAGTTTTGTCTTAAAGATTCTTTCAGAGTCAGTGCTCTTTCCTTCCCGGCGAGCTCGCGGGCAAGCTTTACTTTTCCCGAGACAAACCTCTCCCTTTGCCTCTGTTGCGGCTATTATAATAAAAGTATAATAATAACAATAGTCTTAAAATTCAAACCAATACATTTTCATCCAGATAGCGTGTTTCCTGAGACGAAACTTCGTAAGAAAAATTGCTCTTGGCCTTGGCATCAGTCATGGTGCGGTGATCAATTCATTATGCCCCGCCTCAAAACAGGCATTATATAATTATAACACTGAAAATTACAAACAAATTAAAATGTACAATTTATATATCAAAATTAATGTTAAAATCAAGTCCAAGTTCCCTTTTAATAGCTTCAATCCAGGCCTTACCTAAATCTATTGCTGCAGCAGCATAACTACCTCTTACAGCAATGAATGAGCTTAAAAACTTTTGACAGTGCTCCTCCACATTAGTTAGCTTTCTTTTAAATTTTAGGCCTTTCTTGAATTCAGTGATGAACAATTCCATTGAGCAAGTTTCTTTTACTTCATTAGCAATGAGACCAGCTGAATATAACTGACTGGCAAGATCTGAAAGAGACGTCTTAAGAGGAGTAAGAGAAGCATGATAAGATCTAAGAACATCATCAATAACTTTTGTAACTCTCTTAATGTCAATACCTAACAGAGCAAAAGTCAGTGTAATATCTCATCATTACTCATTACTGTCACTAGTTTCTCCAACACCTATATTAGAGGAAGAGGAGGTAGATCTACTAGGATCTAAAATTAAATGAAAGTTAATTTAAAACAATAATATCAATTACTTGTTGAATGAGTTAAATTTCTCCGTGCTTTATGAATGATTAATATTTATAAGGTTCAACTATACCTACTAGTGGTATGTAATAATTAAGAAAAGGTACAGCATCAGGTGATCCATAAACTGATATAAGACAAGATGAAGGATCACTATTTTCCTTATCACCAAATTTATTTATGGCTTCTCGATATAACTGTAATATAAAAATTGATATACAACTATAAGATAGCAATACAAACTTACTCTACTAGGTTCAGTATGAGGACTAACCATCCATCCAGTGACTGGTGTCTTCTGTTGTGCAGCAAGATTTAATTCAATGTAATCAAAAGGAAACTTGAAATGAAAGTAAATATTTGGTCCAATTTCAGCTTTGGAGTGGTTCCGTTTAATAAACTATCAAAATAATAATCAATACATTAAATTTTTATAATAGTCATAATTATTTTGTTGCCTGCTTGAGTGCATCCAAATCTTTTGCTGCAGTAAAGGTCACTAAATCTTCTAAACCTTTCTCCTCATAGCACATCAGTCCAGCATAACCCATACTCCTCTGTACATTAGTGTAAACTATACCTAAAAATTTAGTTGATTATGATATGAGTTTACTATTAGACTCAGTACAAGGCACAGCAGCAACAGTTTTCTGTTCCTCTTGCCCATCTTGACAATCTCTTTGTTCTTGTTGCTGTTCCAGTGGTTCTGGTTGTTGCTATGACTGCAACCTCCCTTCTTGTTCCTCTCCTTCCTCTTCCTGCCTTTCTTGTACCTGCTGTCTTTGTTGATCCTGGGTTTGTTGATTAACTACTAGTGGTTGTTGCTGGTTTAGTACTGTCAGTACTCCTCCTTGTTGCTGTTGAGTTAGCACTATATCTACTCCTTGTTGCTGCTGACCTTCTCCTCCTTTGGTCTTTCCAGCTCCTCCTCCTCCTTCGGTTCCCCCAGCTCCTTCTTCAGTTCCTCCTCCTCCTCCTGCAGTTCCCCCAACTCCTCCTCCTCCTGCAGTTCCCCCAGCTCCTCCTCCTGCAGTTCCTCCAGCTCCTCCACCTTCAGTTCCCCCACCTCCTCCGCCTCCTTCTCCTCCTCTCTCATTGCCAATCATAGATACTAATATCAATCCCAGTATGCATACTAACGAAAACTCTTTACGTTCAATGGATCCATATCCACTATTAGAGTTAAACTCTCCTCCCTCTACTAATGTGAACTGGTAAGGAAGACTAGGTGTGTTTAATGGAGCAACTGCAAACTTTAAGTATGGCGAAAGATCTGGTTGTCCTGTTAAATCAACACAGTGCTGTATTTCTAACTTGAGCTGTTTGAGCAGAGGCTTTGAGAGTGATACTGCATACACTGCACTGACAAGGATGGTATTATCAGAAAATCGGAACTGCCCTCCTACAAGAGCAATGACTGCTACTTCTATTGTCTGTGAGGGAGATAAGCTACAGTGTTCTATACCAATTCTCAAACCAAAATCCTCCCAATTTATCAATTGAGGTTTGTCTCCTTGAATTGAGAATATTTTCTTCTCTGCTATTTGGACACTACTCAAAGAATTCATATTATCTATTAATGTGTAACATTATAAAAATTAACATACTGTAATATCTTACCCATCAAAGGAATTAGGTAATCAAATTGTACTCCAATATCTTCAACAGACTTTACCCTGATATCTTCAACAGATTTTGCCTCCTCCTTCTTTTTGGCTGTTATTGCCTCCTTCATCATTTTGGCTATTATCTCATCTTTTTCATTAAAGTACCTCTCAGCTTTTTGTAACTTTCTTTTTTGGTCTTCTATACATTAATTTTTGTATGAATTTACTTACTTAAGTAACACTAACCAATAACAATCTCCATTTCTTTCATCTTTTTGTCCACCATCTCAAATAAAGATATTTTCATTAGCAGCATATTTAGCTTTAATTTCTTTATTACTAGTATTCTCTACAATAATAAAAAATTTATTACTACAAATCCTCTAAAATTGTTTTTAAAAAACTTTTTTAAAAGTATTTATCCTTAGTACATAAAAATCTTTATTAAAAAATAGCATAAGTAAGGAACAATATTAGTTTAAGTTGGAGAGAAAATAAAAATAAGAATGAAATAAAAGTTAGCAAAATAAAATAAAAGTACAATGTTTAGCCGAGTCTCTGAAGTATTTATACAATTTTTTGTCAAATTTAGAGAGAAACAAAACAAGTAACTTGACCATTCCCACATTGAACCACATTAAACAATAGCAATTTATAATTATTATTAATTAACACTACATAATATAGAGAATTCACATGGACATGTACATGTATGTATTA